TTGTATGGATATCGATGGTCAGCCGCGTTGCACGTAAGGTCTTTACTTTCGTAGCAGGCTATCTAATTAAGATAAGATTAAAGCCGGTACTAAAATTTTTAGTTTATTTAAGCAGGCACTATAGTTACTAAATTAGACGTATATGTTTGCGTATTTTATAGTTGTCCTTTTCCGTATACCGGCTATCGATGTGAAATCAATGGTAACACAATCATTTCATTTGTTACTTTATATATGTATTGATTTACAATAAATAAATATATGATGATAATTAGACCTATTTACCTTTGCTGTTTCAATATTTCAACTATGTATTATAGTATTCTAAATAAAAAATCATAAAGACTGTGAAATCTTAATTTTTTAGTGTTCCCTATTATTATCACGGTTGGAATATTGTTAATGATATTAATAATTGGCATGCTTACATATAAAGGCAAATTGAAGAAATCATTCATGATAAGGTATTTATGTGCATGGTAAATTAGCAAGAACTTCTTCATCTATAACTTTGTAGTTTTTATTATGTTGTTCTTATATAACTTGGAGAGAATATAAATTATTTAAAATTAGATTGACTATTTGAAATTTATAGAGAAATTCGATTACTGTAATGAGAGTTTTATTTAATAAGAAGCTTTTCTATTTTGAATTCCCGCTTATGCACATTATTAAAATGCTATACTGTAATTCTGACAAGCCATAATTCCTTATTCATAACATCGGTTAGTACAATATAATTTATGTTTAATAGTGATATGGAAATGAAATGCAAGAATCACTCATTAGTTTATAGTACGTTTTTTAAAGAGGCCATGATATCGATCTTCGTATGATATTGTATTGTACATATTACTGCATTTGCTAAACTAGATAAATCGAATTATCATAGTAATTGTATTATGGTAGCATTAGTTATACTGTACATGGTTCAGCATACTATATGCGGTAACATCCGAAATTTAAATTGTGAGATGTCATAAAATATGATCGGATTTTCGATTAATGTTCGTATGCAATTATAGCGACTGTATTATAGCAGGTAGTAGCAGACTAGCAGGTACATATACTATACAGTGTGCGCCAAACATATAATGATATTCGAAATTAAAATAGTAAACATCATAAAGGACGATCAGATTTCCGTTTAATTTTCGAATGTAAAGATGAGATGACATAAAATACTTTAATTCAAAGTAATGTCCCTTTTGGTATTATTTTGTACGGTATCAAAATAAGGTAGTCAGTGATAGTTTGACAGACAGTTATTCATTATTAGGAATCTATGCGCAATGATATGATGTCAACTTACTGCAACACAGTGATTATATACAGTATAATATAATCACGCTTCAAGCACTTTAGTAGCATTCTATATACTGTTCTGCTTTACCGCATATTAGGTACTATTATTTCTTTATTGCATTATAAAATTGGCATTCTCATTTTTCAGAAATACGAAATTTTATGAAAACAACGTAATTCCTCTAAGTGAAACGGAATAATTTCCAGACCTGTATTTGATCTTTGGTATCTAAATTTTAGTTATGATTCAATTGATTAATCAGTTGTAACACTTAGAGTATCTTTTTCTACTATTGTGAATCCCATATTAGTACAGGTAGATGAATTTTAAAGGCTAAACTTTATTTATCTAATTAATATTGATTCTCTTAAATTTAATTCTTACTTGCATATCTGTACAACTCTTATGTACGTATAGCATTGATACGAATCGCATTTTCTCTGTCATGGCAAGCTGATTATGATGGACAGTTTATGTTTGACCATAGTTATATTACGCCTGTTTATTAGAGCCATGGAATTTGTACCTTCGTTTAATAAAGTTAATAAAGCGTTACTTGACACTATTACAAATCCACCACATATGAGTTTCATTCTTACTGTATGGTATGATGTAATGCGCAGTGCTCTATATCTTCTATTAAAGCGGTATAACAAATACACTAAACAAATTCCTTCCAATCAACAAGTTATGAATTAAGCAACAATATCAATAAATATTTAATGTCACTCTAGATGAACTGAGCTAAAGGTTAGCAGATACACTCGCATTGGGCTAATACTGTTCTCGTGCGATAGCTCACAAGTTAAGTTATAATTAATCTATGAAGCCGATTACTTTAAAAAGATCAAGATATACCCGACTTTTTTCGATTGAGTCAGGTTGATTCCTGTCTTTACGTCCTGTTGTATTCCATTATTAATATCCTTGGTCAAATATGGTACGGTACTACGTACGTACTAACTTAATGCACTAATAGCAATTGACAAAATATCACTAAACAGTGACGTTTGAGCAAAAGTGTTTTAGCGGTTGATGCATTATGACTACTATTGGATTTTATTTTAGCAATATGGAGAAGCATAAGATTAGGCAAAGGGTACTCTAAATAGTTAAATTCTTCGCTGCTAAAAGATATGTTTACTTAAAGATGCCAAGTTGTAGCTAGCTTATTGTACCCTTATATTGTATAAGTCATATATCACTGAAGGACATGAATTTGCAACACAGGTTTGACACATGCATATGCATTTACTTAAAGTTTGTACACTACAGTACAGTATTATATGGTACGTATTAATTACAAATTTAATAAACTCTTTCGACAAAAACTGATGAATCTTAATATTATTTAAATCTATTTAACGGTGAATGAGCTTCATAGTTTGTAAGTTCAGCGACTAATGCTAAATGAAAATATCTAACTTCTAATTAAGCCAGTATGCTTAACTGATCTAGTCTGTTATATATCGACTTCTAGTGATGCATTACTGTGCTTCGTATCATTAATATAAATACTGCACCATATATTCAAGCAATATGAAAATAGAGAATTTAGTAACCGGTAATAATT